TTGCTCTTCTCTGCACTTTTTCTAGAGTCTTCACATCTTTTCTACATCGTCACGACGAAAACTGAATACAGTATTCCAAGTGTGGCCTTACCAAGGCCTTGTAAAGTGGTATTAACCCTTCACGTGATCTTGAGTCTATCCTTCTGTTTATGCAGCCTAGAACTGTGTTGGCTTTTTTGGCAGCTGCTGCACACGGCTGGCTCCTATTTAAATGGTTGTCCACTAGGACAATAGTCTTCTCAAGAGTCTTTTCCAACACTTCCTTCAAAGCCATCGATGTTCTTCTTCTCCAGATTCTTCAAAGTTGCACTTTTAATTCCATAAAAAGTCACATGGAAGATCTTATCTTGCACAATTCTGATCTTTGTAGGTATAAACTTTGCTTTAAATCCATTGTAGATTTCTTTTTTCTACAGTGCTTCAGAGGGCATAGAAATAAAAACAGAACGAGCTTGTGGCAAAATAAATAAATAAATTGGCATGTCAATTGCGGATAGTCCTCGACTTACAACCATTCATTTAGTGACCGTTCAAAGTTACAACGGCACTGACGGTCATCGCAGCACCCCCCGTGGTCACGTGATCAAAATTCAGACATTTGGCAACCGACTCATATTTATGGCGGTTGCCTGTGTCCTGGGATCGTGTGATCACCTTTTGTGACCTTTTGACAAGCAGATTCACTTAACAAACATGTTACTGACTTAACAACTGTAATGATTCACTTAACAACTGTGGCAGGAAAAGTTGTAAAATGGGGCAGAATTCACTTAGCAATAGCACTTATCTACTGCTTCGCAGTGCTTTTCACAGCCCTCTCTTAGCGGTTTACACAGTGAGCCTCTTGCCCTTCCAACAATCTGGCTCCCCTCCAACAAATCTCGGAAAGAGTTAACCTTGGACTTAACAAATGTTTCACTTAGCAACAGAAATGTTGGGCTCAACTGTGGTCGTAAGTCGAGGGCTACCTGTATTATATACCTTGCGGTGTAAATATTTCTAGTGGGAGAACTCCAATGCTTGGAAATTCTTTGTTATGAAACGCCGAAGTGGCAAATGTTTTAAGTGGCTGGGATGAACTCATCCCTTAAAGCCAAGCAGAGTTCATTCGGTGGCGCTTGGTTCGTGGGAAATCACCTCCGAGCTGATTGGAACGTCAAAATTAAAAATGTCTTTTTGCATCGTTTTGAATGCTGAAAATTAGCCCAGGACATCTGGAGCAGAAAGCAGAGTCATTCATGCACAAACGGTGGGGATGAGTGATGTGCCTTGAAAGCAAATTTTCTGGTGTGGGTTGGTTAAAGCAGCGGTCACCAACTGGTGATCCATGGACCACTGGTGGTCCCCAAGAAAATGTCAGACAAATTATTTGCATTTTTTTATATTGCACTAAATCAGGGGTTCCTCAAACTACGGGCCCTGGGATGGATATGTGCAGGGAACACTTGTGTTGCTGCAGAGAGTCTCCCCCTTCGGGATATTTTGGTGTGGGTCAGAGAAATTCCGACTTGGGGTCTGCTTCAGCCTCCTGGGGTGGGGGGGGACTTTGGCCGAAGGCTGGAAGGAAGCACAGCTGGTGGCAAAGAGCCAGAGGGCCTCGTTCCAGTGGGACTGCATCATGGCCTGGAACTGGCTGAGCCTCCAGGCGCCGGTACCTGGCCTTGCACTCCCGCAGGTCTTCCCTCTGCTTGGAAAGCCCACGCTCCTAGTCCTCAGTGATGTGCTTCTGCTGAGCCTCCTTCTCGGTCAGATCCAATTTGAACTGAGCTGTTTTGACAATTCTTTCTCCTGGGGGCTACTCAGCTCCAGCAAC